TACGCACTAGCGGCAAGCGCTGGCTATCTGTAACAGCCGCTGTTGATCACAAGTTTGGACGTTGCAGGACATTTGCGGTGCATGTCTGCCAAATTTTCTTGAGACATTTGCTGAAAAAATACGGTAATTCCGCGAGGCCGTGGTCTGGAACCGAACTAGTTAGTATAGCAGAATTTTCAAGTCACACGGACTCTTGCATATGTCAAATTAGGAAGTCCGGCAGTAAATCAGGGAGTATTTGACTCCGGACTCCCTTTAATTTCGCACCCTGGATATGGAACAGGGAAATGGAAAGCAATTGATGTTTTATTGAAATATAAACATAGCAAACACACATTCATCACAAGTAATCACAGATGCACCTATGATCATAAAATATGAATGAAAGTAAAGCAAAACATAATTATACAACATCACAGATACATTAAATTCTTGATATTTGATATTAAAGGTATAAAAGCTCAAGCCAGACCTACATCACCACGACCAGCTGAATTAATACTATGGAAGCCCCTGAAACGACATATGACTATTTGAGTTTCCGAGTTTTCTAGTTTTTGAATTTTGTATCGTATATATAGTACTACAGATGGAAGTCAAGCAAGGGTCACACAGGGAAGAACGTAAACACGTGAGAACACGCATTGAGAAATGTGTTAATTAGAAAATAGACACACTGCGCATGCGTTATGACGGAGAATCTAAATTTAAATTAGGCCCTATGCTTTCCCGCTTAATAGAACACACATTTACTCACATGGCACGGGATTCTAAATTTGAATTATGCTATCTCGCTTAAAAAGGCACACATTTACTCTCATGGTAGGGGATTCTAAATTTAAATTGTTCTTTCCAGCTTAAAGCAACACACATTTCAGGGGGGTAGCTAGGGTGGAATGGATGTGTACGCACACAGGCAGGGGGCGCTGAGGGTCCTCCCCCAGAACATTTTGAAATGTAGATTGCAGGAGATGGTATTTGAGGCACTTTTGAGTAAATGTACAGCCTTCATTCTGACTACGACAATTATCTTTTTAGTAGAACTATTCTCTTCATGAGCAACAAGATGTGATCACTAAAGATCACTCTAACTAATCATGTAATTTTAGTTTTATTATCAAGACATGTTGAACTAACGCACATTCTTAAACTCTCTCTTTCTCTCTCTCCTTCTGTGTGTGCGTGTGGGCGCGTGTGTGTGCTCAAACACACACATCACTCATTGCACATCACATCACATCACTGCATAGGTGTCGATTTGTTTTCATGATTGGGGAGGATGATCCTCGGCGAGGGAGTGAAGCGACCGAGCATGGGGTGGGTGTGTGAAGGGGGATATCCCTGTTCCCACGGTAGGGACATTTTCAAAAATGTGTGTATCAAAATTTTATATTTCGCATTTTAGAGCATTTTGATTCTTATTTATTTTATGACTTTCCAAAAAAACAACAAATAACAACGGATTTCCAGGTAATTTTCAGGTAATGCCGCGCGCAAGTACGCACATAGATTTGAGGGCCATAGCACAGGAACATCACGAGAAATTCTCGCGCGTAGTAATGGTGAGAAACAGTCGGAAACGGGCGAGTAGTGTCGCTTAAACGGAGTTTTTCCACACTTCCTGTAAAGTCACATAATGTTTCTCGATCGAAATAAACAAACAACACCTTCAAGAACACCCCTGTCGATTTTAAAGGGGCTACCCCCCCCCCATTTACGAAAATGACATAGGTCTCAATCTGGACATCATCTCTATCCTTGAACCCTACTGCTCTAGACATGAAAATACGAAATACTGAATAATTTAGAGAAGCTTGTACCAACGAGGGCTACAAGTAAGAAAGATTTGATGATGCGGATTGTAAATAATGTGATGGTACAAGCTTCTCTAAATTACTCAATTATTATGCATATTAAAAAATTAGAGTGACCTGATACTTCAATGAATTGCCACTAGTTTAAAGGCTGCACATGTGTTTGTTTTGCTCATATTCCTCGCCTTTCGTCGCCGCCCTTCTAAAAAAATTATTATATCTGATTATATAATTCGTCGTGTTTTGTATAGGCCTATGTTTTGAAGAGAAAGTAATATCAAAACCATGTAAGGTAGCGCTGCGGTATCAGGCGTAGCTACGAGGGGGCTTGGGGGGGGGGCACGTGCTTCCTACAAATTTTCTGTGCCCCCCAGGTGCCCCCCACTGAAAATTCATGCTTGATAAAAAAAAATTGAATTAAAAACAATGCCGTTAGAACAGTATAATACAAAGAAAGAAGGTTCGAACCACATCTCTGGTTCGAAGATGCGCCATCATGATCTAGATTAGATACCGATCCCGCAATAGTTTACACACTTTACCGTTAATTACTATACTAGTAGTTAAGCCCGCCGCACACGCTTTGGAACGTGCTGCGCAGCCTGCGCCATCGGCCACACGTGGCTGATGGCGCAGCGCGTTCCACAGCGTGTGCGCATGCAAAATGCATCGATCTGTGGCGTGTGGAAAATATCACACGTGTTTGATATTTTCTTCCACGTGTGGAAGATTGCACAGCGTCTGCGGAGTGGCTGTGTAAATTTCCACACTCAATTCGCATTGTTCTTAATTGTTCGCTTGGACACGGAGCGTCGTTGAAGAGAGCGTTCACACGACGTTTGATCGATCAGTTCTTGGACATGCCTCTATGCGAGCTAGGCTTAGATACAAATATCTCGAAAAATGGCCTAAATATCTTTTCGGAAATTCTCCAAAAAATCTCTAAATATCTCAATTTATTTTCTAAGTATCCCCAATTTTTTTTTTTATATCTCAGTTATTTCAACGTAATGTCTTTTAAACATATTTATTTTGTGCGAAAAAAAATTTTCCAAACATTTTGAAAACAGTTTGCACCGCTGAATGGTTTTTCTTAACAGAAAAGGACAAACTCATCCTTACAAATCCTTAATATTTGAGAAAATTATGTTTTATCTTCTAAATATTAAGGAATTTTCTAAATATCCAGATTTTTCTAAATATCCCGAAAACTTCTAAATATCTAAAAAAAATATCCGGATATTTGTATCTAAGCCTAATGCGAGCTGCTTGATATGCGAGCTGCGAGCTGCGAGCTGAGAAAAAAAGTACAATGCGTCCAAGACCCCCCACCCCCCACGAAAATGTAAGGCCCCCCAGTGCCCCCCCCCCCCGCTGAAAAAATCCTAGCTACGCCAATAAGAAACGTGCATAATTTGACGTGGTTTTGAAATCCGTATATTTTGATTAAGGCGGCAAATAAACTACTTCTAGAATGGCGGATTTTAATGGGTACCGGGTATTTGATTATTACTTATCACGGCATTGTTTAAGTCGCGTTCATTATTCAATTTGTAGGGGTGACCACCGCTGGGATGAGGGCGACAGCAAAACTCTTTTTATTGGAATTGTGAAAAAGCTGAAAAAGGGTTGTAACCTGCTTCGCCAATCAATTATAATAATAATTTAACCTATGCATCAGGTGACGTTTTGTACAGCCGCGCGACTATGTAAAAATATTGTTAGTCCAACAGAGGCGGGGAACTAGCCACTCAATCCACCCCCTACTAAATCCGCCACTAATGTAGTAAGCTTGTGAGTAGAGATATCTCAGTAGGCATAATGTCGAGACGAAGACCAGTCTACGCTGCATGACAGTGTGTGAAAATGGTTGAATCAAGAGATCAAAAATTCGTTTAAAATCAACGAAAAATAAATTCACGTTAAACGCTAAATAAAATATAACGGTTCACGGTAAACAAACAGATGCTTTCACGCTAACGCTAATTTCTATCAGGGTATCACGTGTCAGGCTAGGCAAAAACATAAGAAGAATTAATATTTATAAGGCTATACTATTAATAAAGCTTTAATATCAAACTTTGGATTTGTCGTTATTAGTGTTTACTGTTAGAGTAACATGCTATCAATAATACGCTTGTTTGGCAAACTTTAATCTCAATCCCAGACAGCAGTCAACGCATTTGTATGGATGACTGTATATATTACATTCAGGCAAACTGTCAGACACACATAGGTCGCCTCTGTTTGCTCTCACAGAATGTGTCAACGATCTTGTTGACACTGATGACTGTGTGTGTGTATATGCATGCATCACAGCCAGTGTTTATAAACAATTTAGTCTGACTGACTGACTCTCTCTCTCTGCAATAAAAAAAATGTTTGGTGAAATAATGTGTACGCAACTGCGTATCTGCGTTATGGTTGCTACGCGCCTGCATTAAGTCATGGAAAAACGTACGTGTGCGAAGTGTGTTCATTTTTGGACTTCAAATATTTTCTACGACTCTCTCAACAGACAACACTTTATATATATATCAGAAGTAGAAAATAGGGATAATAGTTCCCTATTATCTACTTGTGATATATATTATTGATCGGAAATTCAGAAAATATAATAAAAAATATAAAAATGTGCGTGAGTGCGGATGTGTCGCTCGTCGGTCAGCGACAGCAAGGAGCTATATATAACAAGAAGAGGAAGCCGCCATATCTGGCCCAAATCTTTGCCATATTTGGTCATATCTGGCCTAGAACAGATTAGTGTTCTATTGTCTTTGGGTTCTGGTCTGCACAGCCGTTTCAGCTGATTATGGTCCTTAGATGGCGTCCTTGAAGCGAAAAGCACACAGCCAATCCGCTTCCTCTCCTTGTTATATGTAGCTCCTTGCGCGACAGCAGTCACCGTGGTCACGTGACAGGATCAGTTCTCTCTGGCTCGTGCGTATGGTTCGTAGAGAAGTGACATCGTCCCAGGGATGTCATCAATCCGTC